CCACGTCGAAATTGTATTTACTTACACGAAACGATTAAGTTTTCTATAACTCTCTGTAATATCTTGAAACCGTTTGAAAGGGGCACGACGACTAGTATCGAGCTGGATGTCCAGTACGAGACGTCCAATTTCACAAGTTGGGAGATTGAAAATTACTTCTAACTTGTTTAACAAGACTGCAATTAGTTTTTAATTTCTTTAATAATGATGTCTTCGTTTATATTTGTCTGTTAAAAGCAACGAAGGTCGAGAAAAGTGAATACCGAAGCAGGAAAAATAAGTTGGTTCTAGTAAAAACATAGTATAGTTTTTCCTACAAGATTTAATATTGTTAGTATAGTTTTTATTCGTGATAAAGTTTTTTTAAATTGCACAAAAATACTTTTTTTATGCTTATAAATACTTTTAAGAATTTCTCAGCGTTGTGTTTACAGAGAATAATTTTATATTTAAAGTTTTAATAATGTGCAACTCCTACTAAACTTTTGAAAATACTGTAATATAATTAATTTTTTATGATTGTTTTTATATAAAAAATAGCTAGGAGTTGCTATAATTTATGGACGTTGCATATTATCTGGAAAATATGCGATATTTGGCGCCATTCGTTTGCAGCGTCCATTAATCTGGACAATGAAAATTGGCTTGCATTTCAAAAAGGTACCCTTTCCCTATATCCCCCGTTACTCCTATCTCAGCTTCATTGTCCGTCGGTTGAAATGCTGTTTCGAACTATAGCGTAATATATTTTTTTATTATAACTTGCGGATTACTCGATTCGCTTTGTAGGCAGTTCACGATAAAATGCTTTTCACTGCGGGTTACAAATTGCCATTTATAACAGCACATATTTATGAAAATAATTAACTAAAATGTTATATTGTATTTACGTACTGCACTTACATTTAAATGATAAACCAAAAATTAAATTTTCGCTCGTGGAATAATAGCCATAGACTAAATAATGTTAAATGTTAAGTATTTATTGGAACATTTACCGTACAAAATATTAAATCATTATTTATAAATTTATATAAATTAACTTTGTATATTAGTGAAATACAGAACACCTAATAATTTCAAATTTGCACCACTGCTTTTAAACATTATTAATCTTACCACACAGCTAAATTCTAATTTTTTATCTCGATAATTATTTCAATATGTAATGTTTACTGAAACATTATGTTATACATAAATACTGATATTTGTTGTCTAGTTTATTTAATTCCTTTTCTCTTATATATATATTATCTGTTTTTCTATTATTAAAATAGATAAACTACTATTTTTTATTAATTAAATAGAGTAAGTGAGAATAGAAAACTAGTATATCTACTATATTGGTTAATTTACAAAATAAAGTCTATACATTCTGCTTTCAAGTACCAAAGAACTACAAATAGGGATTAGCGTAAGTCAGTTTCATCTATAGGCTGTATAGGCAGCGGTAAATACAAACGGACTTGTAACGGCTATCAATATCGACAGGTATTGACAGACCGATGTAAGGTGCGATCGGGCAATCTACCTTTCAGCTTAGCAATGGTGCGTATTGGCTTCGATGTTTGTATTTGGAGAGAAGCGTTAGCCATTGTAATTAAGCACGACATATCATGCTTCGGCATCCAATCACAAGGTTTCGAATCTATATGGATCTATTCTCGAACTATTTATTCTGATATAAATTTTACTTTGTTTTTATAAGTCAGAATTCTACGTTTCTCTAACCGCAAATGAAGGATACGTGAGAATAATGGTTTATATTTTTCAATAAAATTCTCACATTATGCCGACGAAATATTTGTCGACATTATATAACTTATTTTGGGTTTTAATAAAATTTTAAATAAGTTGTTTCGTTCCTTTCTTTCTTTTTCTTCTTAAAACTTTTGTTAAATTAATATATAAATGATATTTAAAAAAGTCATTATAATGTTATTATCTCTTGAAAAATGTAAAATATTTAATACGTATATAATTATAAAAAATATATACATTTATTTATCTCAGATAATTTATCTCAGATAATTTTGAGTATTTATTAATTTCTAAGCTAGAAAAGGAAAACACTATTGAATCTCGCAATTCAATCAAGAAATTCTTAACGCATCTCTTATTCAATTTAATATAATATGAGACAATGCATGCGTTTGCTATATAATGATGCTAACTATACAATCCCGGATCAGGTATACACGTACATATATACAAGATTTGTACTAGTATTAAGGATGATGGTGTGGTGACGCGTGGAACCATGGCGTGGCTAGTATGGCGCTGTCTGAACGGTGGCAGAGAGTGCTCGGGGACCGTCGAGCTAAATCACTCCCTAATGGATCGAGCCGCTAATCTCTGATAGACTGCACGCTACCAGGGTTTCCCGTTCTGCTGTATTCTCCCTCTCGTATTCCCCTATGTCCACGTTACATCACTCCGCTTTGTATAGCGAACTATGCAGCGGAATCAAACACGCGCGCATTGAAGGGCGCGAAATTCCTAGCAATAAAGAAAAAATATTGTAGATAATTGTTATATATGATGTTCTATAGATCTTAATACGTCCAAGGTTTTTTTATTCAACGACGGTTGCAATTAATTAATTAACTTATTTATCAAGATATATATTTCATTATTCAGTTTACTGTGTGATGATGAATAATTCGTATTGCTATTTATTTGAAATGCAAATGAAGTATATTGTGAAAGAAATAATATTTGAGTATAAATATTATTTTTGTAATAATATCTTTTAGTTAGCATATTCTTTATAATTTAAGATTACTATAAAAATAACCTTAAAAAGTGTATACGACAAATGAATAAAATAAGAAGAAACTGGCTATCATGGTAAAAACTAAACGTCGAGGTATTTGAGTTTTGTGGAGCATAAGCCGCAAGCTTAAAAAGCTACCTCAGAGTACACGAAAATTTCAGAATAAAATACCTCCACGCCAACTACGTCACGCAACGTAACATTCCATAGAGACCTTTAGACGAGAAAGAAACTTTCACGCGCCTGGGGTACTGCCACACAATTTATTTATTTTTTTTGTCCCTTGCTGTAGATGTGACTACATGCG